ATCAATCGAAGGTAGATGCAATAGGAGTTGGCCTGAACCTAAAACTATTAGTGAAGTAAGGAGTTTTCATGGTTTAACCTCATTTTATAGGAGATTTGTGCCCAACTTTAGTACCTTTGTCACCCATCACCGAATGTTTAAAGAAGGGGAATTTCGAGTGGACAAAAGAGGCAAAAGGTGCTTTTGAGGTGATTACGAAGAAGCTTTGTGAAGCACCCATTCTAGCTCTACCCGATTTCACTAAGGTGTTTGAAGTGGAGTTGGAATTGAGGCAGTCCTTACTCAAGATAAAAGGCCATTAGCATATTTTAGCAAGAAGCTCAATGATTTTAGGAAGAGATATAACACTTATGATGAGGAGTTTTATGCAATTATTAGAGCCTTAGATCATTGGAGTCATTATTTGAGGCCTAGGCAATTTGTACTACATTCGGATCACCAAGCTCTCAAGTTTATCAATGGGCAACATAAGTTGAATTCAAGGCATGCCAAATGGGTTGAGTTCCTTCAATCCTTTTCATTTGTGTTCAAGTACAAGCAATGGAGCATTAATATAGTGCGGATGCATTGTCAAGAAGGTACTTCATCCTTTCCATTTTGGATGCAAGATTACTTGGGTTTAGCATGATGAAAAAGCATTACAAACAAGATGAACACATGGCTGAAATCATGGCTAAGTGTTTAAATGGCAATTTTGAAAATTTTGTGGTTCAAGGGCAATAAGTTATGTGTGCCTCATGCAAGTTTTAGAGAGTTGCTTGTAAGAGAGGTGCATGGAGGAGGGCTTGTGGGTCATTTTGGGGTTACCAAGACCTTGAAAATTCTTAAGGATCATTTCTTTTGGCCGAAGATGGTTGGGGATGTCCAATCCATAGTGGCTAGATGTGGAGTTTGTCATAGAGCCAAGATTTATTTCCAGCCGGGGATGTACACTCCATTGCCTATTCCTAGTCAACCATGGGAGGACTTGAGCATGGATTTCATTATGACATTGCCGAGAACCCAGAGAGGTAAAGATTCCATAATGGTTTGTTGTTGATAGATTCTCTAAGATGGCACATTTTATTGCATGTAACAAAACCAATGATGCATCACATGTGGTTGAATTATTTTTCAAAGAAATTATGAGGTTGCATAGTGTGCCAAAAAGTATAGTGTCGAATAGGGATACTACATTTCTTAGCCATTTTTTGAGATTTTTATGGACTAGATTGGGTACCAAACTTTTGTTTATCACTTGAAATCACCCCCAAACTGATGGTCAAACCGAAGTCACAAATAGAACCCTAGGAACCATCCTTAGGACCTTGGTGAATAAGAGTTTGAGAGATTGGGACAACAAATTAGCTCATTCCGAATTTGTCTATAATCGATCCCCTAGTGTTACCACAAACCATTCTCCATTTGAAGTTCTTTATGGCCTTAATCCCATCACTCCCATAGTGCTTAGTGTCTTACCCCTTGATATCCAATTGAATCTTGATGATAAAGAGAAGGTCAAATCCTTGGAAAAGGTACATGAGTCAATTAGGGCCTAAATAGCCAAATCCAATGAAGCCTATTGGAAAAAAGCCAACAAGCATAGAAAACCCACCATTTTCCAACTGGGTGACCTTGTATAGGTTCATTTGAGAAATGAGAGGTTTCCTCCAAATAGGAAAAGCAAATTAGCACATAGAGCCGATGATCCCTTTAAAGTTTTTAGAAGAGTTAGAGATAATGCATATAAGATCGATTTACCCTATGAATTTTGTAATGTCTCAGCTACTTTTAACATTGGAGACTTATCTCCATACTTGGAAGATGGGGAACTTTCGGATTTGAGGACAAATCCAAAAAAGAAAAACTCGAGGAGGATGATGAGAATCCAAGCCCATTGTGTTCATTAAACAAGCAAGAGTGTTCATTGAAGATTCAAGGAGCCCGAGCCTTTCAAAGAGGACAACATTTGGCCCAAGCTCACAAACTTGTCCAAGATGTGTTAAGGGTTCAAGACATGGCACAAGTCCTTTTGTGTAGCCCAACCTGTGAAGATCAAGTGGGGAGAAGCTTAATTGGTCCAAGCCCAATGTGTGGATGCTATTTGATTCAATTTGGTGAAGGATAATTAAGTAAAATGCAATTAGGGACATAGATCCTTAATTTAAGGAGTGGTTGTCCTTTGCATTAAATGGGTATGGTGTGCATTTTGTAAATGAATGGTGGAGAATTAGTCATTAATATTTTTGTGTAAGGTTATGTAATATTAATTAAGGCAATCCTCAACTTTGTAAAGCCTATATAAAGGCTACTATTTCATAATATGAACTAGACAATGAATATTGATGAATAGTATTTCTATGGAGAATTGTGTTTCTCTTCTTTGAATTCCTTTACCCAAGTTTCGGCCAAGCTTGGTGGTGGATTGTCTTCAAGCTGGTGGAGTTTCCTTTAAGCTTGAATGATCCTTGGCCATCTATCTTGTAAGTTATTCCCTTTCGGTTAACATTCATCTCACTTTTCGGGTTTGACTTGTTTTGTTGTGTTCCAAATTTGAGTTGTGTATTTCAAGTGGAATGAGTTTGTGTTGATTGAAGCTAGATAAAAGGTGTTGTTCTAAAGTGATATAAGGGTTGTGTGTGCTTGTGGAGTGTTGGCCAAATTGTGTTAGGGTGTTGCAAGTGAATCCTAGCTTAGGTTGAGTTAAAATTGGTTAAAATAAAGTGATATATGAATTAGATTGCATGAATTCTTATCACTGTGTGTGTATGTCACCTGAGCAAGACATGGAGTGGCGTTTATGGTTTGGAGATTAGAGATGCGACAACGGTGGAGACTAGAGAAGCAGCGACAGTGGAGTTGCGTTTATGGCTCTGGAGATTGGAGATGCGACGACGGTGGAGACTGCAAACGTGGCTTTAGAGAGTGGAGATTGGATAAGCGGCGACGGTGGCGTTGTGTAAGTGAGTGTGAGAGACGAGATGAGTTAGGGATTTCAAACTTCAATTTTAAGAGATTAGGGGTTTTAAAAAAACAAACAAACAAACGTTACTATTTTTTATCCGAATATGGGTACGGGTCCAAAAAAGGGGCTAATGTAATGGATTTATACCTTATATTGATTATCCGGATATAGGCCGAACTGTGGGTTCGGATCCGTTTTGCCAGGTTTAGCGTTAAGTCGTAGGAATCCGCTAAATTTTCTGTCAAACTTTTTCGGCTTTTGCGATTTAAAATCTCCTGATTTCAACAAAGTGCTTGCACCATTGTGTAGAGTGGCGGTCGGCAAAACTACCGGCAGAACCAATCGACCACCACCAGGCAGTTTTCATTTTTTTTTAAGTTTCAAAATTTTTTATTTAAGAAATTAATTTTAATTATTAAAAAAAAAAAAAAAACTAATTCAAACTATACTCATTTTAGTCTTTTTGTATGATTCATATATTCTCTTAAAAATAAAAGTAATTTTAAAATTAAGAAAACAAACATCCTAATAGATTATAGTTAAAATTAATTATTTCAAAAGTAGGCCTATAAGTGATTACCAGACAAGCTAAAACAATCACAAATTAAGTCATAGTCATATTTATATTCAATTAATTTGCTTCACTTTTAGTGATTTCACAAATAATGAAATTAAAATTATCAACATACTAATTTATTTCTACTAAATTGCACCAAATAAATAATTTCGTAACATGATTCTTCAGATAATAATAATTACTCTGATTTTTTTACCTTAATGTGAATATGTGAATTATTTTTTTGTAATATTAATTGGTTTAAGATTTAAAAACTAAGAAATAAAGGATCAGCTATTTTGGGGCTGGGCCTTCGGGTTATCCATAAGGCTTGGGTTACCAAACGGGCCCGACGCCATTCATAGGTCCTTACAGAGTTAGGGTTTAGCTCATCGCCCTTATAAATTCTTTTAAGAACAGCGATAGCATTTCCAATTTACTCTACGAGATGTTAGATTCATTTGTGATTTAGTCTTTTTTTTTTTTTTTTTTTTTTTGTAATTCGTGGTGATAATTTTTGTTTATGAGCATCTGTGATGAGCCGATAATAAAATTGTTATCCTTGCACTTTGATTGCCAGTGAAGAAACCAACGGGGAATTTTTTTCTCTGAGATGCTCTCTGTTTAATTGATTTTTTTTTTTTTTTGTTTAATTAATTCGGATCAATGATGTTACTGATATACTGCGTTATCTATCTGCAACTTCCTAAAAGGAACTGAAGATAAATATTATACGCTGAGATCCTCATCAACGTTTTCTTTTCATATGACTTTGAGTGTTGTTTGTTTGATTTTTGAAGCTGTGGATTATAGTCGGTCAATGATGATAACCTTTAAGGCTTGTTTCTCAAAACATTCGCAGTGGCCGCCTGAGAGCTTTCGCCTTCGCCAGGCTTGAGAACTTCTGCTGCTTTTATCCTTCCTTGGATGTCTGAGACCTTTATTTATTAATTGGTTTTGATTTTAATTTAAAATGTTCATGGTTCTTCTTATATAAAGCTTTTATGGAAAAGGGTTTTACAGTCCTCCTTTTTTCACCCATAATTTCATCGATGGTGGTACTTATAAACTGTCTATCTGCAGCTTCCAAATGTGATTGAAGATACCACAACATCTTGAGATTTTAACATTTATATCTCTATTGTTTTTATAATGTTACAGAGATTTATGGAAAGAATTTCAATGAGTTTCGAAAATTTAATTCAATGGACGAGAGGCTTTATGGAAAAAATAATTTAGGCCGAAGCATCAGTACTAAATTCTAATGGAGAACAACGGAAAAAAAAAAAAGAAAAAAGAAAGAAAGACTATATTTTGAAGTATGGTAAAAATTCTGGGTATTCATCTCGCATCTACAATCCAGCCTCGATTATATGATACCTACAGCGAATTTTGCTGACATATTATGAGTTCATTTTTCTCAAATTTATAGGCTAAATTCTCTAATTTGAAGAATCCTAAGTAGGTAAGTTTAAAGAATTGTCCCATTGATGTCGTGGATAGATGATGGCCACAAACGTCGTCTCCAATTCACGCCACAAATGCAAAACGTCTGCTCGAACCTCCTTCCCAAGAAATAACGTTTAGACAAATCTAGCCTGATAAGTCCAGATTCAAGCGGCAGTTCTCTTCTTCACTACGTTTCCTTTTATGCTTCTATAAATAGATTCTCACCATTGGTAGAATTAGCCACCTTTCAGTCTTCACTAAGACCACAACTAGATTCATCAACATGGGTATGGTTTTTGGGAAAATAAGCGTCGAAACCCCAAAATTCGAAGTGATTCAATCTACTGCAGATTACGAAATCCGCAAATATGCACCCTCGGTTGTGGCCCAAGTCACATACGAGCCATCTCAATTCAAGGGCAACAAAGATGGGGGCTTTTCAGTGTTGGCTAATTACATTGGAGCCTTAGGCAATCCGCAGAACACTAAGCCTGAAAAGATTGCTATGACAGCTCCAGTCATTACTAAATCAGAAAAGATTGCCATGACAGCCCCTGTGGTGACAACGGCTGGTGGAGATGAGACGAAGATGGTGACCATGCAGTTTATTTTGCCGGACAAGTATACGAAGGCAGAGGAGGCGCCGCAGCCAGTGGATGAGAGGGTGGTGATAAGGGAGGAGGGGGAGAGAAAGTATGCGGTGGTGAGGTTTGGAGGAGTGGCAACAGATGAGGTTGTGGAAGAGAAAGTGGATAAGCTGAAGAAGAGTTTGGAGAGAGATGGGTTTAAAATCACTGGGGAGTTCTTGCTGGCTAGGTATAATCCACCTTGGACTTTGCCCTCTTTCAGGACTAATGAGGTTATGATTCCAGTTGAATGAACAATTTGCAGAGGAGCTAGGCTTTTAATATTTGTTTGTAGTATAATGTTCTATGTGTAGTTCTGATGAAGTACGTTTTTAAACAAATTGAATAAACTATCCAGCTCTTTGTTTTATGCATTAAACTGTCATTTCTTTAATTTCTCAGACTCTGTATACAGGACAAAATGAAACAATGTAAATATTTCACATTTAGTGTATGTTTGCGTTAGTTTCTTCTTGGTCAGTATGTATGCTTCAGGCTGCAAGTGAAAACCTAATAAATATATTGCACAAAATCTGTTTAATTTGAACATTTCCTGAAAAAAGTTTATTGCATTTTCATATCACATTATGTTCAAACATGACCCTACTCAATGCAAACCTCAATCCCCACAAAGTATAGCAGAAATTAGGAACAAGAAAACTATAATTTAATCAATTCAGAACGAAGTCTGCAGAACAATATCTATTCCCTTGTCTAACCAGCAATTTAAGTTCGAACATATGAAAATTATTTAACGAAAAATGATTTTTTATATCTTCTAAGTTCAGTAACTCATCAAAATCACACACTATCTGTCGAATTTGTTTCGATCCTCAAGAAAAAGGATATAAAATTTTCACAATCTACTGCGTTAAATCACAAGCCACAAATCTCAGTTATCACTCTTCAACCTTAACCAGAGACTAGCTTCACTACGATAACGATGATATTCAAAAGTATAAGTGGCAATCTCATGAATTGGCATGCATGTATAAGCCCAATGACCTGACCCTTGAATGAATTTCTTCTTCCAGCTTGGAGTTCCGCCAAGGTCCACCCTCTTGGAGCAAGGAACCGGTCCTCATTCAGAATTGCCAGTGCATTAGCAAAGAGCAGAAAACCTTCCAGCAAAGTCCAGAAACCCATCTTCTACCGAAAAATAAATTGAATATCTCAATTCCAGGACAAACAAATAAGGTCAAAATCAACAAAAGTCTCCAGTTTAAAACTCAATGGAACATTCAATGACACAAAAAAAGTTAAAAAAAAATTATTCTTCCATCACAATTCAATTAACAGAACAAGGCAAATCATTAGAACACTTTCCAAAATCTGATTTCGTTAGATATCATCATAATCTTTATTTAATCTACTGAACTCCCAATAAAAGAAATGTTTTTAGTATACTATCAGCTTAACGACATACAAATTTATCAGCTTTACCAGAAGGAGTAGAAGTTCTTCAAACATAACACAAATTTATCAGGCGGAAACCATTAAAACTTCACAAACAGAATTTTAAGGTTCAGGGATTTGAGAATGAATTAGCAAACAAATCAATACAAATTAAATTAAAAAATCTGGAATTATGAGTTTCAATAACAACAAATAATACAATAACATCAAGACTGAGCCGTTCAGACTACTTTCCCAAAAGAAAAAACAAACGATCAGATGATAAAGAATTCTCACCAGCCACAATTACAGACGTAGAAGATAACTACTTCCTGTCAACAGATAATGAGGTGAGAGTTCAACCCTTCTGATTTTTGATAAAGAACATGCAAAACAAAACCACCTCATGAAGCAAAACGATTCGCAATAATCATGAGGTCAATGACTCAAATATTCATAATCCAACGGCTAAAATACGTTCTCGGTCATGCAAGCAGAGAGCTACTAGCCGTTGGATTATAAAAACAGAGAAACAGTCAGTCGATAAGACCAATGTGGACCCGGCCCGATTTTCAGGCCCAGAAAATACAACCTGATAAAATTTTTGAAACACAAAGGAAGAAAACCCATGGAAAAACCCTAAACAAATGGCGACATTTCTTCTTCTTCCTTATCTTCAATACTCTCACTCTCATCACTCATTACTTCTAAACCCTAACAAAAAAATCAGTCAATTTCTAGAAAAATCTCGAAATCCAAATGCATTTAAACGAAATTTGAATCCTCGTTATTATTTACTGAACCCGCCAAAAGCATCCAATTTGGAAGATGATAACACCAACGGAGCTGTTGAAATTGAATCTCCGAAACCAAGTCGACGTGGACGTAAAAAGAAGGCCATGTCATCTCCTTCGACAAAGAACACCAGGCGTTCGAAGAAAAGCGAAGACGAAAACGGCGCGGTTGAGGCTAAAGAGACTGTCACAATGGAAGTTTCGAGCGAAGACTTAGGAGATTACGATGATGGCATGGACTTTCTGTACGATGATCCTCCGTTAATCTGCTGCTTCGGCGCTGTACAGAAGGAGTTTGTGCCTACGGTGAGAGTGCACGACAACCAGATGCACCCGGACATTTACTCCACGTGGAAGATGCTACAATGGGACCCGCCGGAGTTTGTTAGGGCCCCGGGTGGACCACCGTCCAACGTGGCGATATCGCACGTGCGTTTGGGCGGGAGAGCGGCTTTTATGGGGAAGGTTGGGGCGGATGATTTCGGGGATGAGTTGGTTTTGATGATGAATAAAGAGAAGGTGCAGACACGCGCCGTGAAGTTTGATGAGAGTGTAAGGACTGGTTGTACGTATATGAAGATTAAATTTGAGAATGGGAAGATGAGGACTGAGATTGTTAAAGCCGCAGCTGAGGATTCACTTCTTAGCTCTGAGTTGAACTTGGCTGTCCTCAAAGAGGTAAAAAAGTTTAGAAATTCAAGTTGAGGTTTAAGTTTTATGATTAACTAGCATTTAAAAAAAAGGATTCAAATTCATTGTTATGTATATTCAAAGATTTCTTCTAATTTACCACGCTATATTTGAACAAAATAAAGAGATAAATTTGCTCTTATTCACCCAATGTAAGATAAGTCCAGCAGAGTGAATATTATTTCAATCCTGTCCCATCTCTCTCGTTTTACAATTAAGTTTGCTATCACTTATTACAAGAGAAAGTGTGTTTAAATACTAGGTTTAAGAGACTAAACTTACTTTTACAAGGATTTCTATTCCTAAGCCCAAACCCAGTAAGAAATTAATAACTTAAAGAAATTCTTTAGCGGTTATACATGGAAAAAGCCCAAAACCGCCTACTGGCTTTGGGGCGCTGCCCTTAGGACCCCCGCCCGCTGACCAGACAGTAGAACCCACCCCTGAATGCGTCTGCTTATCGCATCAATGCTGAAGTGGTCGACAACTCCAACAGGTTACAACAATGTTTTAGGTTACTATAGTTTAATAAAAAGGAAACTGAAAAATATTGGCTCGGTAATTATACTGTTAGAAAGCCCTGTATTCAATGCCTACCATTATTTCTTAGGTTAATTTCGTGATCAGAGGAGAAAAAGATGGTATGAATGGTAGAAACAGTCTAGTAGATTGTATTATATGAGTTAAATTTTGGAAGCAAGTATTGAGATGAACTGAGTTGATTGACTGGATTTGGAATGTTTGTTATATAATGTACTGCAGGCTAGAATTTTCCACTTTACTTCTGAAGTTCTGACCTCCCCGACCATGGAGGCAACACTTTTTAAGGCAATTGCATTGTCTAAGAAGTTTGGGGGGCTTATATTTTTTGACTTGAATTTGCCATTGCCTTTGTGGAGATCACGTGATGAGACACGAGAATTGATCAAGAAAGCCTGGAATGAAGCTGACATTATTGAGATTTCAAGGCAAGAGCTGGAGTTTCTTTTGGATGAAGAGTATTATGAAAGGAAAAGAAATTACAGGCCACAATATTATGCTGAAAATTATGAACAAACGAAGCACAGGCGGCGGGATTATTATCATTATACCCCTGAGGAAATCTCTCCATTATGGCACGATAGACTTAAATTTTTGTTTGTGACTGATGGAACGCTTAGGATTCATTACTATGCCCCTTCTTTTGATGGTGTGGTGGTCGGAACTGAAGATGTGCTCATAACGCCGTTCACTTGTGATAGGACTGGTTCTGGTGATGCAGTAGTTGCTGGTGTTCTGAGAAAGCTGACTACTTACCCTGAGATGTTTAAAGATCAAGATGTTTTGGAGAGGCAGCTTCGCTTTGCAATTGCCTCAGGGATTATTGCACAGTGGACGATTGGTGGGGTGAGAGGTTTTCCCACTGAAAGTGCAACTCAAAATCTGAAAGAACAGGTCTATGTACCTTCAATGTGGTAGTTGAGAGCCAAAGATATACACGTTGCGAGGATGCAATATGCTAGTTCACAGGCAGACTACGAAAATTCATATCTGATTAGGAAGAGTGAGATTCCATGTTGTAGAAAAGGCTGCATCAAATGGTACGTTTACGAACTCTGTTGAGTTCCATCCACGTCTTGAGGTACTATTTGATAAGTTAGCATTTGATGTTATTATAAGTTTTGTAGGCCAGGAATGGTTTGTACACTATTCATTTTGTAATTGAAATTTATTATTATGTTCTGACCAATTCCCAATTCTCAATCTCTATCTCTCTGTGTCTCCAATGTATCTTTTAACAGCCAGATTTTCCAGTCGTTTAACCCAGGAAATTTGTTTCAGAATTCTATCTTGTAAGAATGACAAAATTTTAGCCGAACTTGCCTCCAGTATGATTGTGATAAGCCACTGGGAAGAACTTCCCTATATCGGGCCCTTTTTGTGCCTGCCAAAATTTGCATGCATTCTCACAACGAACAATGTCATGATTCTTCGGGCATTCCTGGTGTAGGAAATTTTTTTTTTTTTTTTCCTAAGTCGTTTGATACAACTGGATTTCTTAAAGTAGTTTTCTGGCTGTCTATTCAATGAATATTTTCCAACGAGTTAATTCTTTGCATATGCTGGATTTTCAGCTCCTATTATTGATATGTTAAGGAAAATCGTATGGCCTAATTACCTAAAGATTTAAGGAAGAAAGTGATTGCTACAGACGGATTTTGCTCAGTATGGAAACCAGTAGATCTGATTTAGTGATTTGCATGTTTGAAGGGGCAACATACTCTGAGGGGGCTTTGGTTTAAAGAATGTTAGATTATTGGAAAATTAGACTACCTTAAAGATTACTAAGAATCTTTAGGAGAATGTGTTTAGTTAATTAGTAGGTATGTTATATTAATATATTTAGTTGGAATGAATAAATTGGTAAGTATGTTATTTAAATTACTGAATTGTCTTTTAATTAAATATTATTATTATATTATTTTTTAATATTGATTATTATTTGGATTATTATAACCCACTGCATTTAAAAATTTAGCAAAAACAAACTCATAATAAAAGTTTGGAAAATTAACAAAGCACTCCCATCAACCCAACCACTGCCTGCTGCTGGCAACCATCGCAGGCCGTCGGCAACCTAATGGTGCACGGAAGGCAGGAAATGGCCTCCATGCGTCGTATGGCCAGTTCCGGCTAGAGATCTGGGCGAAAATGGCCAGACGTGACAGATGTGGCCGTCGACGGCCATATCGATGGCCGTTAACGGCCAAATCAGTTGATTTGGCAGTCAACGGCCAAATCTGGTACGATCTGGCCATTTTCAGCCAGATATCTGGCTGGAAATGGTTATATCGGTGCACGACCATTTTCGGCCTTCCGTGCGTCGTTCCAATGGCAGGTGGGTGGGGGTGGTGGCTTGGGTGGGCTGCAATTTGTTTTGAATTCAAGGGTAATTTTGTCTAAAAAGTTAATTAATTAGGGTAAAATAGTAAAAGACATATTTGTGTAAATAAATTTAAAAATAAGGGCATTATTTTCCTAAAATTTTATTAATAAGGAATAAAATTGTAACAAAAAAAAAAAAATTACCCTGGTAATCTTAGAATATCTAAGAAAATGGAGATAATCAGATTACCTTCAATATTACCAATAATAACCACTATTAGTATTTGAAGATTACCGATATCTTATATTACTTGATAACCAAACATGATAATTAAGTAATATAAGATGACTTAACCCCAGTAATCCCACGTAACCCCCAACCAAACGCCACACAAATGTTAACCTAATTTTCCACCTTTGAATTTAGTGATATCCGACTTTATTTTGACGATTGTAGCTCTTGCTCTCCCGCTAAGATAGTAATATTAGTGGCGCATAAATGATGTTTGTTTGAAATTTCAATGGCTTCCACTATCTGATATTAACAAGACAAGTCCTTTTGGTGAGATAATGGCCTGCTTTATCTTATTTTTGTCGTTAACATTCATATGAAGTCTTCCATTAAGGCGAAGATGGTCATAATTGTTGCCCGTTCTGGTTAGGCCTCTGTCCATTATCTATGTCCATTATCAATCTGTCTCTGTCAAGTGCCAAACGTCAAATACCAATAACTTTAATATTGATTCTTGCCTTGATGGGTTTGTTTTTGTGATAAGTATTGCCATTTGCCCAGATTTCAAATTTCAATCTATTTAGTTTTTAAATGTTAAAACTTATTTTGTTTCTTTAATTGAAGCGAAGATACCAAACTGCAAATGGGCAAATGATAAAAAATCAAAGAATATCTGGAGAAAAATATAATAATTTCTATTATGAACAATATCGAATGGTACATTTAAATTTGCCTAATTTGGTTGTACCAAATTAAGAAAAGAATAATAAATAAATGGAATGCTATAACTAACAGGGATTTTGTATCTCGTATGTTCTCTCTATTCCTCTGTAACTAATCTCTCTCAGATTTATACATGACCTTTTCTGCTTTCCTAATTGCAGGATTGGTCCTCTCTCCGTATAACAAAAACTAAAACTAGCATTCTCCGAATATGAGAAGTCTTAGAAACTTTCTGGACCCTGCTTGCGGCTGCTACATTCTCCGGCAAAATGCAAGTCAATTTCGAATTCTCCCATACTACCAGCCACCTACTAAGCAACGGATTTGTGTAATCCAAGTGTGAGCCACATTTATACTTGCCAAAAAACACTCTATTTTTGTGATGCAGCTCTTGCATTCAACATCTTCTCATGGTTCAGGCTGGTAATTTGTTCCCGAGTCCTGTTGCAGATACAACCAGGAAAAGGATTTGAATAGAAATTTTCCTCATGCCTGGGTGAGTCTCCCGGTTGTCTAGGGTACGGTGCTCCCAGCCTGTTTGAATGTAAACTTTTAACCATCAAAGAAAACTCTTGCCAAGTTATTTCACCCGCATCCAATTGATCTACAAGTGTAACAATATTTTGCCTGAAAAAATAAAACACAACAGTGGTCAGTACTTTAGGTTCCAATTTCCAAACAAACAAAAAAACACCCTTTAAAAGCTAAGAAAGATGATTAACCTGTCAGGGTTGATGGACTTTGAAAACCCTTCAAATCGCCTATGCCCCTGCACTGCCTTGGCCATATTTCCATCATATGTGTAAACAAAAACATCACTTTCAAGTGCCACAATATAATCCAAGGCAGCAAGGCGATTTTGATATGGTCTGAAGGGCTCCAACTCTTCTTCAGTGGCCAGAGTGGAATGAGTAAAGACATTTGGGAACTCTGAACGGAAGGCTTCCATGCTATTCTTACCATAAATTTCCCCTGCAACAATGTAAATGGTTGTGGTGGAAGGGTAACCCATGGCCTTGAGGAACAGAGCTGCTTCTCTGGGGGACATTGGGCATCCCCCTTGGAGTCGCCGTTTTACTCCATCTATCTCCTTCTCCTTCCAATGTTTAACAGTATACCTCATTAGCTTAAGTTCCTGAGCCTCTTCAGCAGTAAGATTGCCGCTGCAGCCAGTGAAGGCAAGCATGTCCTTCTCATATCTGCAATCAAATTATATCTACTTAGTTTGAGAACGTATCAACTGAGAAACTACTAAATGTGGTGCTTCAATAGTACCTTAAATGCAGAGCAATGAAGGGCGTGCTATTGTTCCTAAGTCTATCAAGCAAAACTTTTCCAAGGTCCTCAATGTCCTTGGAGTACCGGAGAGCCTCATAATTGGCACGGCACCTAAGCCTTTGGATGGAGGATGCAAGGCCATTGTTGGCAAGTCTTGAATCGGTGTGGGTAAATTTTACCACCTTATGCCGCTTTAATAATGGGACCATATGATTCCTGTAATAACTAGCCTGCAGATGGATTATCTTAGATACAATCCCAGAAACAGAGAAACAAAGAACAATATTTTTATGTATTCAAAGTTTGGACAGTATTTCCGGACCTTGGACCATGAAACGGGAGCCTTTACTAAGGGCTTCTTCCCAGCATAGCGTGATGGCAAATACTCCACTATATCAATATCATCTTTTAGAACTTTCATGAAATGCCTCCAGTCAAAAATATCTTTGAAATCACTGCAGATTAGAGATATTATAATGAGATGAAGAACCAATAACCAAAATGAACAAAAATGCAATTGAATTAAAATTAATACCTTGGGTCGGTCCAAAATGACTCATGGTCAAGAAAGGGAAGAACAAGAGTAGCATTCATTATTTTTGCAACAGCCACCATATCACATATCTGAATGTGTCAATTATCGTATGAAATTAGTGAGACAAAGTAAGAAAAGAAAAAGCATTTCTGGGAAAATATTGAGCTTTGTGAAAGAGCAAAAAAAAAAAAAAAAAAAAAAAATACCCCAGTTCTCATTTGATTCAATCCTCCATTAGCATGAACTAGAAGATAGCCATTTGTGTTCTTATTTGTCTCTACAAAGAAGTTCAAGTTTGAAACAGTCAGATGAAATCAAATTCAAGTGTGGAGATGATGATTATCATCAAGTTTAAAAGTAGAACAGCTCATACTTTTTTGATTCTTAGAGGGAGCTATGCATTGATAAAAATTATCGCTGTTGGGTTTCATCCAAATTTCCGGAGTCTAAAACACAATGAAAAGGCAAACAAATTAGTCCACTAATAATAAAAATTAAAAACGATTTGGTTTTATTAGGATCAGATAAAAACAAAATATACTGAAAACTATGGTAGTAAAGCTCAAAGTTTCTGCTAACAACAAGAAGGACAGAAAATTCCAATAATAAACGTCAAAGGCAACTTTATATGAATGTTCATAAATGTGAAATCAGCAGGGAAAAGGCATGAAGGAAAATGACGGCCATCTAAAAATCGTAAGCAAGCAGGCAGAAACAGTGACTTTTGTTCGGTCAAATGCCGCCCTCATAAAATTCAATGCGCCAGTTCCGGGCCACCCACTTCCTCCTTTGAGTCAAAACTCAAAAGTTTAACATAAACCATTAACAAATTTTCCAGAAACTCATCCCCATTTCCACATAAAAAACAAAAAAAATAAAAAAAAATGTAAAATCATTAAAAAAATAGAGTTAAATTTTGATTTTTTCTTTTTTTTTTTAAAAAAAGAAAGAAAGAAAAACACCCGTTTTTCCTCCGTTTTCTGGGCAACCAAACAAAAGATCAAAAATAAAAATTTCTGTTATACTTACAGATATCTTTTCCAGAACTCGCATGGGCATGGAGGGTTCATTATGTTCAGCAACAATATGCTGAGCGGAAGCCCAATCTTCTTTAATGGTTTGCAAGAAGAGGTGGCCATTTTCTCCACTCTTGCCATTAATCTCGACGTAACTACTCAAAAACGAAACCTTAAAAACAACTGAAACCAAGGCCAACAACATAAATGCCCATACAATTTTCCGGGCCAAGCTCCGTCCGAATCTCAAACTCTGAAGCATCGTATCCGTCCAATGATGAATCCTATCCTCTATCTTAAACAGCCACGTCTCGGGCACCCACGAGAATATTTGNTGTACTACGAAAGAACTATCCAACAGCTGTACTACAAAAGAACTATCCCTTATATGACATAATAGTTAATTGAGGTTCTTAAATGTATTTTTTAAGAATTTATAAGTTCGGGTCTTTTATCGATTGTTAATAAAGATGATTATTAGAGTTTTTATCCAAATGATAGTTTCAAGATTTTAAGAGATTCATTGAGGTATACGTAAACTGGTTCGAACATCCAGTCATATATTAAAAAAAAAAAAACAAAAGAACAAAAAAAAAAAAACTATACTAAAAATGGACATGTAAATATTTCGCTTGTTAGGTTTTATACAAATGCATAAATTTAGATTATGACAACGTATTCAAATATGCTTAAACATTAATATTGAATTGACATGTGAAAACGCCATGTTTTGGAATTAAGTTCCAAAATTTATAACAAAAAATTCTAATAGAAAGGCAATTATAGCGTAAGTCAAGTGGCACAATACAGTATACACATCAGAAAGGGATATTGATAATTGACAATTAATTAAGTGTAAATTCATAATCATTGTCCAAAACCTAAGGTAATCACAAGGTGTATGACAAAATAAATGAAAGACAAAAACCACCACCAAGTTGATTGATATTAAAAAAGTAATGGAGGATTAACATAGTTTATCAAGTGCGAATCCTTTTGATGGTAAAAAAATTAAAGAATGATCTAATATGATTTTTTGAGTTCAAGTCCTCACAATTGTTAATAGAGGTGATAATTGAAGTTTTTATTTAATCGATAGTTTTAAGATTTCAAAGAATTAGTTAAAGTACGAGTAAGTTAGTCTAGACACTGCATATCATTAAAAAAAAATAATAATAATAATAAATGAAGGACAAAGTTGATATTAATCAGGAATTTGGATATCATTTTCATTCTATTAATTAATCTTGTATAACCGAATCAGTAATGCCATTCCAAGATAGCCGACAGTCTGCGCCACCAAGAGTAGGTCCACGACTTTGGTGGTTCAGGGTTAGGCACCGGGAACTAACGACAATATCAAATGGTTCATTCCGGGTAGATGGACCCGTTTTGTAAAGTGTGAGACCCACCTTCGATTGGCTCCAAAAGTGAGGTTGGTGAACAGTCTATTGAGGTCCACTAAGTCAGCTACCTTTGCCAAAATCCTTTTTTAGTTTAACATGATTAAAGATTAAGATCACACATTTTCTTGATTGGTGTTGTGTTTATCTTGTTTTTGGGTTATTGTCTAATCTCTCATTAGTGGAGATCAGTTCCTTTCTTTCCTCAAAAGTTAGATTCTTATTCTTATATCAACCCTTAATTATTATTAAAGTTTTCTCCATTTGTTTTGTTTGCACACGTTGATTCGGTTTGCTTAAGATTGTTATCGATAACTATTTTTGGATGGTCGAGTGATTTGATAAGGAGTCTTGGTTATATTACTCTAAAGGTTCTGAATTTGAATCTCTCTTTAACTGTTAATAGAGGTAACTATTAAAACTCTTACTCAGTCGATAGTTTTAAGGTTTTTAATGATTAATTGAAGTATTGTAAGTTAGTTCGAACGCTCTCAGTCATTAAAAAAAAAAAAAAAAAAAAAAAGATTGCAATGATGGCATGACCTAACGAAAAGAATCTTCATCATCCATCATTTTAAACAGATAATATTTGCTTGGCTTCCAATTTTTACAAAAATGGCGGCCCTTAATTATTGAATAAAATATAATCAGAAGACTTCTACACCCTTTATTATCTAATTTATCTTATCATTTAAACAAATATTTTTGTTTTAAAGATGACGAAGGCGAAGGCCCTTGTTTTTGAAAAGGATATTCAATATTGTAGTGCTAACTCCATCCACACAGATGGAGTATTATTATCTCTAAAACAAGAAAGTGGAAGCACTTTAATTAGCTGGTGGGTCGAAAACGCCTGGAAGCTTACAAATTTTCATTGCGAAGGGCAAGGTGGGGTTCCTCCCTTGAGAGTTTTTCTATATGGGAGATGAAACAAAATGAATGAAATATTGATACTGTATTCTTTAGTGTCTGAGTGTTGCTTCAATCCTGTACTGCAAAACAGCTCACCGATTGTAATTTAATGCCATTATTGTTGTGTGATGTTAACTAATCTATGGCTGTGGTGGTCCTGTGTATACTTATATAAAGACATTTCAAGATATATATTCCATTTCCATTCAAAAATGGCTGCTTTGATAATTGATTAATAGTTAATAATCTAAGATGCCATAGGCTATAAACTAAAAAGGGTACACCAATTGGATGAATCCATAACTTTCAGTGTTGAAACTTTGAAAGGCAATGCCTCGATCTCTCTTTATTACTTTTATTAATGAAACATTAACAAATAATAAGTGCTAAATCCGTCCAATTGGGTTGAACAGTTAGTTTTATGGACCCGTATAGCTGCTTTTTGTGATAATTGTGCTGATTCCGGAACAAACTTTAGTATAATTACCTTATTTATCATCCAAAAGCTAGAAGACTTAACGGGACTGCTTTACAGATTAAGACAATAATCAAATAAAAGATATGCCTTAAGCTCAAGGTCAAATTTCAAAGAGAATTTTGTCAATGTGACATCATTACCTGAAATAAAGCATAAAAATATGATAAAAGACTAAATAAGAATCTGTCTCATAAATTTGAGTTCCGTTGATAGTAAAAAAACAAGAGGAGGATTTAATATAATCTTCTGAATTCGAGTTTTTATAATCTCTAATAGAAATGATCACATGAATTTTTATTTGACTAATAGTTTTAGGGTCTTGAAGAGCTGTCTAGACACCCCATTCCAAATTAAAAAAAAAAAAAAAAGATGGTTCTCAAATTTTATGAACAAAATATTGTCGTTGGAATGCACAAAAAAAGAAAAAAATTATACAGGGTGGGTGAGAAAGTGGAGTCAAAAACTGTCAAAGAATGGAAGGAAGAGGTTTTGTGGTGGGCTACAGTTGGGCTGAGCGCAAAATGGTGGAGGTCCACTGCAATATATTGGCTGACCAATGAGTTGCTTTTTTCATAAGGAAGACATTACATCACATCCCTTTTTCCAGTTTCGGCCCATGAATCCATTAATTATATCAACTTCTTCATCACAAAACCGGCATTATTATCATTTACGTGACTTCAACTCTTCAACTCAAGGATAAAGACAATGCAGAAAACGGCAGCTTACATATGCTTGATATAAAATCAGTTAGGAGTTGACAAAAAAATACATGCATGCCTTCCATACAAATCATAATCACTTATCTGTTAACCTCTATTTTTCTAATGGGAGAACAGCTTTCACGTTTTCAATTGAATACGCTATCTCTTTAGTTTTAAAATAAATATAACTTAACAAACACTTCTTACTAAAACTCTCTCACAAACGCGACGTGACAGTTTGCAATTAGCTTGGTCAGGCGGGATCCATTGTTGGACATGTGAGACCTATGTGACATGACCAATTGTGAACTGGCATATCAAGTTTGTGAGAGAAAGTTAATAAGAAATATTTGTGAGTGTAGTATTATTCTTAGTTTTGTGCCTGACTATTTTTAGTGGTATAGGTTTTGATTTCTTCAAATATTACGAGATCTATATACTTTATTTGAAAACCAAACTCAATATTTTCTTTAAGTGAAAGCATCATATGTTCCTTCAAGTATACATAAACTCGAGTATTCGTCATTGAATCCTCCAGTACTAGAAACTTAATTGAGTTGGAAAGATTGAGGTCTTAATCAGCTGGTTTTAGTGTGTACGTGGAAGAGCTGGCCCCAAGTGCATTGCATGTTGATGAAGCAAACAATGATATATGATTTAGTTAAAGGTTTTTGTTGGTGGCGGCCACAACAAAAATGTTGATTGCATGAAACTTGTTGGTAGATAAATCTTTTATTTATTTATTTATTTATTTATTTTTGTTTGCTGAGGAAGCTGGCGTAGGCCGTAGAGTAGTTAGGTAATGGTGATAAGCAATGAGTCTCTATCAAATCCCTTGTCAGTATAGTTAATAAACAGTAAAAAATGCATCAATTGTTGTTTGATTCTCTACGAAACTTACAATAATATTCTAACATTTGTTAGTTTATTGACAAAGAAATTATATCCATGTATGAAAAGAATCAAAGTATATTATAAATTGCATGCTTGAGTTGAGACAAACTCCATTATGTCAGAATTGTGATAAAAGTTCTGATACCATGTCATAAGTAAGAGAATAAGAGAGATAATTAAAAAAAGTCGAAGTATGTTCGAAAAATATCTTTAAAAGAGCAAAAGAGACAACTGAAATGGTTGGATTATACCCGATGATATCTGAGAGGAATTCAATTTAATTGTATTGAGTTATTGTGAATTGTATGTGAATACACAATCTATTTATATAAAAGTGTGATAGCTATGTAATGGATAAAAAAACATTACATGCAATAAAGGAAAGAGAATAATATTTAAAATATAATAGGAATGAGAATAGTGTCACATATTCTGATTCCATATTTGCATGTCAACACATTATATCTTAAACTAATGTCATTGACCCCACTATTTACTTAAAATTGTAATTGAAAAACTTTCTTCTATCAATAAAGATTGATTTATAACTCAGTCTAACAAACTTTTCTCTCACAATCCCGACGTGTTAGCTTGCAATTGAGCAGATGAGACCTATTTGTAAGCTGACTAATTGTGAAATTTCATATTATAAATTATGAGAAAAATTTTATGAGATTGGATTATAAGTGTAATATTGCCTATCTTTTATATATTTATTTCATAATGACACTCTTAATTCTTGCCGTTATTTCAATAAGATTTGAGGTTTCTGGAGCAAGAAAATGGGCCTTTTCTTAAACAGCCAGGAGCGTGAATAATTGCGCATCCGATACAGGGTATTCCTTGAAAACTGGGCAGGGCTTGATCCAAAAGATAAGATGGGCTAGAACTTCATGATTTTTGTCTGCAGACCTCATTTTCTAATGGGTTGGATCCGATTTCACAGAGAACATTTTTCTTTATTTTATAAAGTAAGCATTAATATAATGATTTTACATTGAAATTTTAGAGATACATGAAGAACAAAAAATATAAATCTTATAAATAGGCATAGAAAATACACCCAAAATAATAGACCATTATGAATTTATTATATACAGTATTTCTATTTCACAAGGTTACATTAGGTAGAGGGGAATATTGAGTAATTAAAAATAATAACCATAAAACAATTTAATCTTTGGTTGTCATTTATTTTAAATCCATTTATCTTATTATTTATTGTACAGAGGGACTGAATGTCTTCGATGATAAAGGCAACTGCCTTAGCTTTGTTTCGTTGAGGATAACAAAACTAAGCAAACCACCAAAACAGAGACTGATTGGGTAAATAATG